AGAATTCCACAGAGGAAGATGTTTCTTCATGAAGCCAGACTTCCCCTATAGATAAGACACTGGTTAAAGCTGATACTGCACTCGATTAATAGATTAAAGCTGTTTCGAAACTATATGCCTTAACTGTTCACCTTAGCTTGGAATCACGTTGCGTGCCTTCCAGCAGGTGGGGAAAGACTTCAGGAGAACTGTCAGGGAACCCTTAGCTCCCTTTCTGCCTTTTATTTTACTCAGTAATAAACTATCTTCTGCCTTTCCGTAAAGTTCTCTGGGGCGGCACATTGAAACGGGGATCTTGTTTCGGTTCATCATCTGTAGGTGGATAAACTCACCTGTTTATGGTTGAGACTATTATATCACGTTTAACACGTTCACTGCCATGAGATGGTATTTAACTCACTCTAGTTCTGGGCCCGGGGCCGCGTGAAGCATGTGTAAAATCTCACTTGTTGATATTCTTGTTGTTACAATTACTATTGACACTTTAATTCTAAAAATGTGGATTAAATGAATAGAAGGCAATAAATTTCATTTTTCTATTTATGTTTACCTTTAAATTACACTCGAAGTTTTTATTCTATTTTCATAATAAAACACTGTGGCCCTAAGGAAAAGTTTTGGTTTTTTTTTGTGGCAGTCAATGTGATAGAAAAAAACCCTGCCTTTCAAACCCTCTTCAATTTCTATTTATAAGACAACCACTCTCTCTCCCCCAGTTAGAATTCAGGCTTGCGGATGTTTGGGAAAAGAATTGCGAAGGAAAGAGTTTTCATTCTTTCTGTTGTTGTTGTTAATAGCGCATTAAAAGGAAACGTTTGTGTTGTTACTAAGATCATGATGACAAAACGTATCCAGTTATTTAGAAACTAACAGAATCCTTGGTTTCATTTCTTGCTAGAATCAGGAAGATTGGAGTCTGCCTGGGACAAAGAACTTCACTGAGCAGAAGAAATGTGTTCTTTGTGTGACAGGGACATTCCCACGTTTGTATACGTCCGTATGTGTATGAAACCACGTGGGAGCAGTTGAAGTTCACGGACCTGGCGTTATTCAAGCAACTGGAATTTTTCTGCACTGTGGGAAGCTTTGAAACATTGTTTGGTTGTAGAGTTTATCCTTTGGGGTTGTGTTCCTACTGTGATTTCTTGGTTTTCCCCTTAGACTCAACTTTATAAGTTTGAGCTAGACCTGTTTTGTGATGACCGCAGACCGTGTGTGCGTGTGCGTGTGTGTCCATGTGTGTCCGTGTGCGTGTGCACGTGTGTGTGTGCATGTGCATGCGTGTAGAGAAGAAAATGCAGCGGGTGCACAGACGTGGTGCGGTGATGGAATATGTTCCACTTTGCAGAGCCTGTGATGTTTTATGTTTCAAATTTTCTCTTTTTCCAAAAATCTGTTCTCTTGGGGACAAAAATCTAAAGAGTCTGTTGTAGGCATTTTTTATCCTCTTTTATGCATTTTATAGTTTTTGAGGAAGAAAATAGCCTGTGGAGATCTTTACCCAAGATCTTTAGTGCTTCCTACCTGGTAACCTGAGACCTTGAAACAAGAAAGAATTGGCAGAAGTGATGAGAGTGAGGAGCGAATTCCTTCCAAGAACCACCCGTGACCTTAGTTGTTCACGGAACGTACCATACTCCATCAATCTTCTGCGTCACCTTCAAAAATTTCTTACCGCGCAGGGTGATGGCTACCTAGTGGAATTTTGGCCGAAACCTCTTGAACAAAATGCACTTCCCAAAGCTCACAAGTAACTTTTAAGATGGGTTCCGCTGCGAGGACAACCTTCATGCAAAGATTTCCTTCTGCCTTTTGTTTTGGGTAAAGCAAAAAGCAAATGGTCTATAGGATTGTGAGCACGTGACCCTGTTTCGCTTCTCCTTGTAAACGTCCTCAGTTTGCATCCAGCGATATTCTCCTCTTGCAGATCCTACTGGCTTGTGCAGGAAGAGCAGTGGGTGAGATTTTCCTTTTGGAAATTGATTAGGAAAATAGCCTGAAGGGCGTCCTCTAATTTTTTTTCCCCCTAGGGGTTGACTTAATGACGCCCTGTTTGTGACATCGCCAGGACGTGTGTACTGCTCACAATAGGTCATCACTTCAGTGCATCCTAGACTCAGGACATTGCAGAGGTCCTTGGGGTCTGGATTGTGTATAACTCATTTTCCTCACTCTTTCGCTTCACCCTCCTGATTCTAAACGTGTCTGTAAAAAATCTAAATGGGCGGCACCTTCTCCATTCACCCTGACTTCAGCTTGAACATGGTATCGGTAAAACCTGCCGTGTCTGCAGGGGGGTCAGCGCCGAGTGGCAGAGTGTCAATGGAAATGCATCCGCTCTCAGATTTGGCCGGTCCCCCCACATATCAGAAGGCAGTGGCTTTGTGTATTTGCTGCATGAAGAGAACTTGCATCGTAAAAAGGCTTGAAAAGACACTGCCTTTTCCATTCACTAAATGGAAGAAAGAAGACATTCCCCTTCCCCTTTTCGTAAATGACCTTTCCTTCACGTAGAATTCAACTCTGTGGACGAGAGTGATTAGAAGGTACAGCAAAGTAAACTACGCTGAATCACTCAGCAGAAAATTATGTTCAGATGGTGAGCCGTGGAAGTGTTTCCGCAAAACCATATTTTCAGTCTGTACTTCTCAGACAACATTCCGTTTGCATTAAAAGTTGTGCACCAAAATTGGCTGAAAATATAGCATGCAGATTTCTGAACTGTTTCATCGGATGTTAGAAGGTTAAATTGTGCACCGAGATACAGACCTAGAAGGAAAAGCATACGTCTCATATGCTGTGACAATAAAAATAAATTATTATTATTGAGCCTTCTGCTTAAAAAAAAAAAGAATAAGTAAATGAAACATCCTCCTTGAATATAGTAAAAAATTGTACACAGACACATTAGTCCCTGTGCCTATTTGTGGGTTTTGTTTTTATTATCCAGGATTTAAAATTGAGATGAAGATTAACCTCAAGGAAGCCTCAAATGCATTGCCTTAATTTTCAACAAATACGCAGGAAAATCAAACATATAAAAGCATCGTTTCCCTTCACTCTTTATGGACGTAGTCATCAGCCGCCAGCCATGCAGAACACATGAAAAATGAACAGGAATTCCAAGAACACACGATGGTGTTAAACCCACTTTGAACCTTCGCGCACATTTCAGTATCTGAAGCGGCGCAGGCTGCATGTTAACTGCCGGGATGGGGCCATAAATTAAATGCCATGACGTCATGCAAAGACTGGTTTAATCAAAATGAGTCATCGACTTGGAAACAATCACTATTATATAACTCAAAAATAGTTTGCCTTGGAGGGCGTTCTGAAATTTTCACAGTGAGGATCAAACACACTTGCAGAATGTCGAGGAAAAAAATCACAGAATTTGTACAGGGGGAAAAAATGACAGCTTTATATAATTTTATGAGTTGGCTATATTTTCTTAAATAGGAATACTGTAAAAGAAATAGCTTTAGCAAATGCATATATCACAGCAAGAATTATACAGGGTGGGGTCTTGTCTTCCAAAGGGGCAATGCCTCCAGCCTGCTTTGATAGGCATTGATAAAGCGAGAAAAATAAAGTCGCAACAGGTGATTGTGTAGCATCTCTGTCATAGACTTGCACTGGTCCATTTCTAATTCCTTCACAGCAGAAGTCTAAATCCTGCAAAGGATAGTATACATGTGGCCATGGATGGGCAGATTTTTGCTGTCAATAGGACAGAATGAGAAACAAATGCTTCTGTTTCTTATTCCACGGTAGGATTGCACAACCCACACCATCAAAATGCTCCAAACCCCACGCCCATGCATGCTCAAGGAACAACTGTTAGTAAATTTCTAGTGGTTTTCTTTCCTTCTGTCTCTCAATAATTAAAGAGTAAGTCATGTGAAATCACTACTCAAAAAAAAAAAAAAAACAAAAACAGAAATCACCCATAGAGCCCAAACCGCTGAGTGGTTTGGGACGCATTTGCCATTGCTGTGTTTCACCTACGTTGTCTCTACGTGTTTGGACCACCGCAACTGTGAAACTGTGGCTTGGTACTGTTAAGACCCGCAAAGCACAACTCCGTGGGCTCTCGGCACGTCAGACCGCGCAGACCTCGCTCCAGAATGTCAAGATCATCGCTCCGGCTCCTGGGTTGGCAAGGTGTGAGAAAATACTGTGGATGGGCTTAACTTTTCATAGCCAGCTGAGTTCACATCACGTCGGCACAAGCCTTGTAGCCCTAAGATTGCTCCAGTTGTAGAGATTTGAACTGCGATGCCGGGTTCCTCTTTTCCTGCAATCTACCTAGAGTGCGTTCTACATGCTTCTGACACGTCTCAGGCACTGCTTCTCCCTGTTGCTGACGGAGGTGAGAGGGGTTTCTGTTTAGTCTGACTTGGAAGCAGACAGACAAGCACACAAACAGGTGTCGTAATGATGCATTTGAATGGTTTCTTTGGAGTGCGCGTGTGTGTGTGCGTGCGTGCGTGTGTGTGTGTGTGTGTGTCTTGGCGAAGGTGGGCGGGTGTATTTTCACCACGTGTAACGTCGTCATATCAAAGTTGCTCAGCAAACCCTATGGCCTTGCCTCCTACAGAGCAGTCCTTCCTGAAAAAAAAAGGAGGAATGCCCTGTGATGGTTTCCTATAAATTATTTGTGTGTTCAGAAGTTCTCTTGAGCCTTAGTTTGGTCTCCCACGGTGGACGAGTCTGTTCTTTAAGCAAAAGTTATTTCATGTGTGTTCCACTCTTTCACTTTCATCCTCTGAGATTGGTTTTCAGGTCTGCACGATGGATTTCAAATTTTCTTTTCCTTTTCTTTTAAATGCGCTGGATACCGGGCAGTCTCACCACGTTGCCTGCGCGCTTCTGGGGCCCATGGGGCTGCGGGACGATGCGGGTGCACGGGCGGGGGGGGGCCCTTTGCGGGTGTGTGCGCCCCCCGCCGAGCGGAACTGGGGGTGGGGAGGAGAAGCCTGTTTCTAACCCTGTCGGTTCCTTGCACAATGGAAATCACTGTGATTTGTATATATACCCTAGGAAGATTTTACTGCTGTCTAATTTATGTAATAATACTATCGATTCCAGGTTTGTTTAATAAAACTTTGTATCTTTTAAGAAGTGCGGATTCCGGCACGGTTCCGTGGCCAAATAAGCGCGTAGCTTTTCTGCTCTCGTATCATCTCAGCGTCAGCAAGCATGCTCTGCAGAGGTCCAGAGGGTAGATATTTTTTGGCTTTGCAGGATGTCCTGTAAAATGCAAAAAGCCATCGCGGACGATCTGCAAAGAATGGGCACAGCGGTGTTCCGATAAAGTTTTATTGACAAAAACTGTTGGAGCACCGGGTGTGGCCCTCGGGCGGCAGCATGTGCCGACTCCCGGTGGAGCGCGTACCTGTACCGTGCGCTTTGCGGGTCGCCTGTACAGGTTGTTAGCAATGCACTGCCCTCGTCGTCTTAAATAAACAAAACAGTTCATTGCTTTAGGTTACTCGCGTAGCTCGACGGCCAGGTTTGAGACACCTTTGCAGCTTGCTAAAAACCCTGCCTTTGTCCGGGTAAATCACCTGATTTGTAGTTTTTAACACTTGCCGTTACCAGGGGCTGGAATGACACTCCCAACTCAGGGTCCGAACAAGCCCATTCGCTTGTGACCTGGTTCATTCTGATGTACACAGGTGCCCCAAAAGTTGCCGTACATGGGGAAAACGAACCTTTATTTACAAAAGACTCATCACAAAATTCCTCGTTTGTAGTCTCCACACATTCTCGACAACGTGGATGGCACCGCACGTTCCGTTAAGTGGAAAAGCCGGGCACCGAGAGTGAAACGCCACGTGTTCTCTTTCATAGGTGGAAGCTAAAAGAAAAGTTTATCTCATGCAAGTAAAAAGTAGAACAGAGGATACTGGAGTCTGGGAATACCTCGTCCTGAAGGGGAGAGGGAGAGATTTGTTTTCCCTTGTAGTCTTCATACAAAGGAAAACTTTTGTAAAACTTTGTAATGAATATTTTGCACATAAAGGCACATTTAGCTGCAATTTCCCATTTTCCCTATGTATGGTGACTTTTGGGACACCCTGTATATTACATACACACACACACATATATTTTTTTAGACACACTCTGTTCTTAGAGCTTAGTATTTTCCCAGAAGCCAATCCTGTTCGGCATTCTTGCTGAAAGAATCGGATAACTCTGCTCCGAGGATGTTAAGGAAAATCTTAGGTGGGTTGACCCTGTGCGGTCTGACTACGAGGCTGCCCCACGTGTGGCTTGCAGGAACAGAAAGGAATTACTGTTTTGAGAGCACCCTGTCCATGCAGGAGGTGGGCTGCACACTTGTACAGGCTTTCGTTTAATACTTAATGTTAGGGTGGAGAAGACTAGTAGGTGCTCATGGCGCGGGTGGAGAAAGATTTCTCACACAGCGATTAAGATATGAAAGTAAAAAAATAATTATTCTTTAGAAGGACAGAGATAATGAGAGAGACAGACAGTGTGGCATCCCAAAGAAAGAGAAGGCAGATGCCAGCAGCGAGGACATGTGGCTTGCTGCTTTTCTGGGGAAAAAGAGAAAAATAGTAACTGTTGTGGAGTAATTAGCAGGCAGTTGCTTGTCATCTTTCTTGCTTTTTCTCTGTTCCTGGAGTCTTGGTTATCGCTGAGATGCAGTCAGGCCTATCCCAGGGGATGTGATTTTTCCCCTGAGATATGGTTTTAGGCAGGAAACAAAGACCTGGAGTCCTTCCCCCCCTGCCGTCTGTGCCGGGGAGCTTCTCAGAAACACATTTAGGCTGTAGAAAGAAACAGATTCTAGAAGCTGTGAGCTGGTGAAATGTAAAGAGAAAGATTTCCATTTCCTTTCTTTGGGCTCTTTTCGGGTATTTGTGAAAACAGAGTCCCAGCAGGGTGCCTGCCAGCATGGGATGGAAACAGCAAAGAGTAGCAGAGCTCCAGAGTGATCTTTAGCTGTTGTTAGGAAATTGGGAGATTCAAGGCCGCCCCAACACACTAACATACACTGAGCTGGGACAGCTGCCCACTTTGAGGGTAGAATAACTGAGGCTAAAAAAGACCAAGTTGTTTGTGCAAGAACTCACAATGAAAAAAAAATAAATCACAGAGCTGAGATTTAGACTCCATCAGCATCCATCCTAGCCTTCCCAAGGTGTTAAATGACATTTCAATAATAATAATTATTATTATAATAAATGCAAAACATTCATTGAAGAAAGGAAGAACAAGATTCTCTGTTTTCTGATGAACAAACTAGCCAATGCAGCAGACCTACAGAGA